GAAGGAGCAGCTTCTTTTGTCGAAAATTCGATTTCTTTGCTTCCCTCCACCATGCCCCACTCTCGCGCTGTGAACGCTGTACGGCTGCCGTTCTCCACGTCCGCAATTTCTCTCAGTCTTGACATGGCATTCCTCCCGACCGTGGCTTCTCTCCAGACATCGTCGATAAGTAACAAAATCGTCCTCCCTTTGAACCACTCTGTGACCCTTGAAACCGCAGAGGTTAACGCGCTTTCCTCACGCACCTCCTTCGCTTGCCTTTCCCCTCCGCTTTCTCTCGTGATGCGGGCCAGCTGTTCTACTACTCCTTTTTTTTCCGCGTCTTTACCGAGCACCAGCCAGTATATACCGTCGCAAAACCGGCTGCGAACCTCTTCATCCAAAGCCAGACCGCGAAGGGCGCAAGACTTTCCGATGCCTCCCATCCCCTTCGTCCCCACAACATTTCCACGGCGCGCTCCAACAGCACCAACATTTTGACTTTCTCCCAGACGCAAAACACTCCGCCTCAATCGTTCTTCCGGGGCCATCATAAGTCCCGTACCGTTTCCAGCATCTTCACTGCTTCCAAACTTCAGTATGACGTGTTCTGGGTTCTTTGGCACTTGAAACGAAGCCTTGAAGCCATCCTTCCTCGGGTCGATCTCCGCGGATGTAGTACGCATTTGATGACGCGCATCGCCAATGGCGTCGCTCCTCTTCGCCTCTTCCTCGAATGGGCCATGTACGCCTTCTGTCACTACATCGCTCGAGTCCTCCTCACATTTCTTTTTCACCCACAGAAATACTCGTGCCACAAGACGTTCTCTTGTAGCATGGCTGAATTCGTCTTCCAGCAGGTTCGTTGCCTCTTCGTCATTTTCTATCCCGGTGATATCTGCCAGCTCTTGTAGCTCCCTCTTCACCATTTCCGTGCTCGCCTCGCGCTGTCGTTCCTCGCTAAAAAACTTCTCAACTTCAAAAATATTGTTTCCTTCATTATCCTGATGCTCACTGGGCTCCAACTTTCTACATTCCCGAATACTTAGTCTGTAAAACACCGGAATCAGTGTGGGTGGCTGCATCCTGCTCGCTATCGCTTCTCTCCGTCGGCGTAGGAAGCAGCGCAGCTCCCTCATAGTCCATTTTCGAGCGGCAAACTCGGGAGAAAGAATGAAAACACCGACCTTCGCAGATTCCATGGCCTTCGTCATTTCGTCCGGTCCGCAGTCACCGGGCTGCATTGATTTCTTGTCGAGGAAGTAATTTAAACCATGAGCTTCCAATTTCTTGAAAAGAGGACGTGCGATGGTTACCTTGTCCGGGCCAGCATGGCTTATGAACACATCGGGGGACTGTATTTTTCTACGTTTTGTATGTGGTCCCGTCTCTTGACGGTAGCTTTCCTGCATTTTTACGTAAATAGGGAGACTCCTAGGACAAGACAGAAAGAAAAGAGAAGTTGATGAGGTGCGGAGTGTGTTTTGCGTGAAAACGGCGCCGGTCGGTCGAAAAACAGGGATGCGAAGGTTGGTGGGCGCGTTCAGCGCGTGGCACTCTTGTCGTTGTCAACGAAAGCGGAATGAGTAGGGACGTTTGTGTGGATCAGTAGGATGAGACGATGTACCTGCACTTGCTGTTTCGTGAATGAATGTTCGTAGAACTCCAGTGTGGAAGGAAGCACCCAGGGTATATTACAGCCTCGTGAATGAACGCTCGTAGAACTCTAGCGTGGAAGGAAGCACCCAGGGTGTAAGGCCTGCTTGTTGCTCGCCTCTTGATGGTGGCGGATTTGTCAGAACGAGGGGGGTACAGTACTGTAAAGTCACCTTCAGGGCCACCTATACAGTATAAAAATATCTTGCGTTGTACTGTTGTAGTTGACTGCCGACCAATCAACTAATTTACAGTACTTTTGGGTCTGGAATAATGTAAAAATAAACTCCAATGTCATCATCGCTTTCGGCCATCACCAATCACATCGACAACTACTGTACCGTTTGACGCAAGTCGCCAACAAAAGAAAAGAGACTTTCGTGCTTTACCCTCGAGGGTACAGTACGCAATGCGTACCATGGTTTTCTGCAATTAAAATTCAAGTTTTACCATTTACCAATTCCTGAATAATATATCACCCATGTTGAGATCCAATTTGCCAATTATCCATGTTCAAATTTAATCACAGCCATCTGGGACTTCGCCCCGGATCGTTGTGATTAAATCTCATGAATAATATTTCACCCATGTTGAGATCCAATTTCCCAATTCCTAAATAATAAAATGTATCATCCATGATATTATTGAGCAAGCACAGTACGGTAGAAAGTCAGTTGAAAAAATGTGTCATACATTTTGCCATCTGGTGAGCCTGTTCATGCCCTTCTTGGCGTGAAACGGCTTCACCTGATGCCACCAAGTCCTCAACGCCCCCTTCGACCCTTCGAGTACTCTCCTTCCCGGAAGGAGAGTACTCCCCGCCATCGTCGCAGTAGAGCAACCCTCCTTCAGAACTGCGAGATGTCGCGCCCGAACACCCGGCTCTTGAAGTAGTCGAACAGCACCAGCACCTAAAGCCGCAGAGCAGCGCCGCGCAAGCACGCCGGTCAGTAAGAAATGCTGCGAGTCAAGCGCCGCCTCCTTCACAAAAACCGCCACACCCAACTTACCCGGTTGCGCACATCCACCTGCTTGACGGCGTACACGCTGGCCCACAGCGCGTACGCGAACCGCCCGCCCACTTTGATGTTGGTTTCCGACGTCGCCGGCACCTGCACCACGGCCCGCTCGTTGCCCAGGTACGCCATGATGCCCAGCGACAGGAACCGGAACGGGTTCACCGTCTTCCCGCCCGAGTCGCGCAGCTCGGGCGCCCCGGGCCCTGCCAGCTTCCGTGCGTCGGCCTTCGAGATGAGCCCTTCGCGCGCGCGCAAGTCACAGCGAGAAAGCAATAGCAAAAAAAAAACGTCAGTCCCTGCTGCGCCCACCCCCGCCGCACCCCCCGCCGCCCGCGCTCGCCGGAGAGAAAACCAAACCTACGTCCGAGGTACGCGCCCTGCTGGCCGGCGACCTGCGCAGTGCTGGGCAGGGCGCCGGCCTCGAGCTGCGAGCAGTCGCCGAGGGCGAAGACGCCGTCCGTGCCGGGCACGCGGAGCCACTCGTCAACGGGG